TCTGTGCTATGATATTTGGTTAGTTTTTGTTTTATTGAATGACAGCTGACTCTGTCTCTACCATCTTCTTTCAGACCTGCATGGAGGGCTTGTTCTGGTTCTGTCTGTAGTGGGTCTCCTCTCATCTCAGGCTTTGGCCATGCTCAGTGTGTTCTTTGGCAGTGAAGTCATGCCAACTGTTGTCCGGTAATCTCAATCTCCACTCTATAAAACGGTTACTACATACATCTGTGGCCTGTTACACAAAGCTAGAGATTGAGTGTGAAATTATTGCACTATAAAAATATATTTAAAAACTTTAATGTTAATGTTTAATGGTGGGATTAATCGTGATTAATTTAAAAAAAAATGTGAATAGTTTTTTTTTTTTTTATCGATTGACAGCACTAATATATATATATAACTTCAAATTGTAATATTACTGCATTATTATTATTATTATTATTATTATTATTATTATATTACTGTTTTACTGGATGTTTGTTCAAATAAATCCAGCCCAGACTTCTTTCAAAAAAATTTAAAAACCATAATTATACCATCAGTGTACCATTCATACATTGTATTAACAGATTGTAGTTTGAGTGTTGTTAACTGTGTCTCGCTCAGTGGTGGTACATTGGGTCTGATCATGGCTGCAGGCTGCGTGGGAATGGCTGCATCCTCTCTAATGGAGCTCCAGAATAACGGCGGCTATTTCCTCCATCACGTGATCTTTGCCTCCTTCGCCGTTCTCTCTGTCCTGTGCATCATGCTGCTGCCAGAGAGCAAACACAAACCTCTGCCAGACTCGCTTAAAGATGGAGAGCGGCAACGACGTCCTCCTCTCTTCCTCTCACGCATCAACCGGGACAACCCACCCTTACTGCGCATGCAGCCGCAGAGCTCCGAGTACAACCGGGATAATTACTCCCGCCTCGTCACTGCCACCAAAAAGATGCTCACCACAGATGCTCTGCCTTACAAGATCTCCATTTCTCCACAAGCACCTCTACTGGCCAGTAATGGCACTGTTCCAGATGCCAATGAGGACTCGTCCTAGCATTTCACCAAAGCTGTTTTTGACACGCAGGACCTCATCTCATAGCATGACCAATTTGGTCACTGCGTCTTTTCCCAGGGAAGATGTCGTCTTGCTGCTTAAAATGTGGAGTATGTTGAGTATTTGGTTGATGAATGGTGAAGTGTTCAGTTTTTTTGTGACTTTGTACATTTATTTTGTATTGTTTGGGAACCCAAACTCTGTGCACAGATGTTGCTGTGAGATTCTGTCCATAGTTTATAAGCTTAAACATCATGTCTCTCCTTTATGTTTGAATGAAGTTTAAGATTTAGTACCATACTCACTAATAGTCACCTGAGAGTCATCGCCTGTCCACTTAGTGGGTGCATCTCATGCCTCTCATTAGTGTAGTGTTGTGACTAAAACATAAAAACTTAACATCACTGACTGGTGATTCCCTGAGGGGTGCTAAAACATCCGCTCAATATCATAGTTTTATTTCCTCAGAGTGGAATGAATAGCACTCAATGACGCCAGAATCACTAGGGGAAAGTGTACTGTTTAGAATGTTGGAATGTGATTTGTTTCTGTGGAATGGTAGCTCATCTCATTTCCTCCGTGTGTAGAGTTTGGTCACATCACATTCCTATATTTCAACTGTTTCGTCTGAATGTCACATTGTTGTTGTTTTTTTCCCCCATGTCAGTCAGATCTACAACTGAACCAAACCTGGCAAAGCAAGGGAACTGTTTTTGTTATTTCTATCCTATTTCTATTGCATGTTTGAAATGAAAATAAACTGTATATTATACCAAGTTGAAGCAAAACACATGTATTTTTGATTCTGGAGCTGGAACAAGTGTGCAAATTTGGGCATTGGGTGTGCTGGAGAGCTGCTGCATTTGCATACTTTGTGTTTGCTTTTTAATAATAGAATTGAAAAGTCTGACAGTGGGCTTGTGAAAGCTTTGTCACGTGTCGTTCCCGCACAAAGTGTTTACCACATTTCTCCTCTTTTGCTGAGATGTGGGAATTAATTTGGCACAACTCTCACAGTGCAATATTAGGTATTTTTTAGCAGTATAGTGTATCGGGTTTACACTAGTTACTGAGTTGTATTATGGCAATGGTCCTAAACTTTTTTTTTTTTTTTTTTTTTTTTTGGTCACCCTTTTTTAGGTCAGCCAAACCCCTTAGATATTAAATACTTGAAGTACCCCCTGAGTTTATATTTAAATAATTTCACCATTAATTTAATGATGTACACATTTCTCTGATGTCAGGTAATGGTCACATTAATATGCAAGTAAAAATATTTCTTTTTTTTTTTTTTAAGTGTTTTTTCTTTCATTTGACAATTTTATGATTTAATTAAGTAGCCTAATAGCATTTCATCAGCTCACAAACCCCCGACAGTTCCTTCTCAAACCTTAAGTTTGAGAAACCCTGACATAAAGTAGCAAATTTTGATAAAGAATGGAATAGATTTTCTTTCTTTTGATATTTTATATCAATATGTTACAAAATAATACTGTTTATGTCTAATAAACAAGATTTCTGATAAGTTAAAAGTAACCTAAAAGTAGTCCGAATACATTACCTAAAATGTGTAATCGATTACGTTAATAGTTTTCATCATGTAATTTTACAATCAGTAATGTAGTACAATCTGTAGGTAATCTACCCAGCACTGCTGATAGATAGTATTACTGGTTGGAGCCATCAGATACATCCAAGATTTTTCATAAGTCTGAACTTTGACAGGTGACTGTGTGATTAAGTTGACCAATGGCTGTGGGGCTGGGTTAGCACTTAGCTGTTTGCCTTGTAGGGCCTACAGACAGAAAACTAGCCTCTTAAATACAGTCTTCAGGGTCAAACTGATTCAAAGCTGCATTAAATAAAACAACAAATTATGGTACTATACTATATTAAATAATTGTTATTTTGAAATGAATGAGATCCCTATTGCATTAACTTCCAAAACATGCAGATAGTATTTTAGGTAAATAAAAATCCCAATATCTACTAGGAACATTTAAGTAGTTTCACACTATAACATTTGGGAGTCTTCCATCTGAAGTCTTTTAATGGCAGCTGGTTCTCACTTTCTCCGAATGATGGCAGCAGTGAGATGTGTCCATGTTTACACCTCTCCTCTGGTTAAATAGATATACTGTCTAAGTATCAGGTTTAAGCAAGTTGTCCAATAACGCCTAAAGAAAAATGTTTATATTTTCAGTTAGCCAATCATATTACATTAACAGAAAGAGCATGATCAGAGTGTTAGGTACTAGACATGTCATGGTACTTTAGAGTCTTCTTTACAGGAACAATGATACAGATAAAGAGGGAAGGAAAACTTTACTGAGGGGGTAGAGCAGGTTGAGGTATCTTCATGACGTTGCAATGTAAATCTGCAATGTATATCTATCTATCTATTATATATAGGTAGTCCAGCTCCTCCAGATGGCAGCCTTGAGATGCTGTGGGGAATGTTAAGATGTCTGCCACTTCATCCAGTTTGTTTTGCCGGTCGGTCGGTGAGTCAGTGATGGTGTGGGAAGGAATATTCTTGGAGGCTGTTGCTGTTGGGTACCGGGATGAAATCCTCAGAGCCATTGTCAGACCTTTTGCTGGAGCAGGGGGCCCTGGGTTCCTGCTGGTGCAGGACAATGTCGGCCTCATATGGGAAGTGTGTAGGCAGATTCAGACACTACACAGCTACATTTACATGCAACCAAATAACCCATTTGTAATCGGATTGATGGCTAAATCGGACTGAAAAACCTTCCTGTCATTATAAAACTGTGAAGTGGAGCAGGACAACCTCCCACTAGTCCTTGTTTTGGATTCTCTTCCACAGGCAACCCATTTTGGGCACAGGGAGGGACATTTTTACTGTGTGATAAATATGAGCAGCACGGCACAGCGGTTTATATGTATATGTATCCATAAATTAATCAATATTAATTCTGCTGTTAAAAACAAATAAATAAACCGTGTATGTGAGTGGTTATTATGTGCGAACAGTGAGAAACTCTATATTTGTGCAGTGTGCGCATGTAAAAAAAAATCAATTCCGATTTGAAGCTTGTGACATGTAAACACGCACACCAACCCGATCCCTTTCTTTAGCGTTCATGTAAACCCTACATTCAGATTCATCAATCGGAATAAATTCAGTCCGATCGAACCCAAAATTGTGCATGTAAACGTAGCTCCAGGCCTCACTGGGTTGATGGTTTTGGTTTCCACATTGTATTTAAGTAAAGATTTTCAACTTGAAATTTTTGTTCATCAAGATCCAATGTGTGATTTAAGTGTTCCCTTAATTTTTCATGCGAACATAAATACATATGCAATGCTACAGTGCACACGCATCTTAAAAATGTATTGTTTTCAGCACAATAGTCTCAGTCTATTGAGACAAATTATTTGGCCTATTTTAAAGGTAGTGACTAGTGAGCTCAGGCATTTCTTGCCAACTTGACTATCTACGATCTTGTCATGTAATATCCATAGACTGTATAAAAACATGGACTTAGCGTCCGAGCGTTTTGACTAAAGTAGGCGGAGCCATCTTGACATCTCGCCATCACGCCCGGATCATCGAAAATGGGCAAAGAGGCGGGAGCTGGCTGCTGAAACCACGCCCACCTAGCTCGACAGTGTTGACTGCAGCGGCAATCCACCTATCACTCAAGTGGCCACGCCCTTAATTATGCAGAACTTTAAGGCTTAATATAATTTAAACGGATGAGTTATAAAAAAATCCACCCCCTCACAGTTGTCATGAAGGGCAAAATGAGCTATATAGACCAAAATAATTTTTTGAACCAGGCTGTAAACATGTTGTTTTCTGCTGTAAAGTTGGGCATTTTAACATGGGGAGTCTATGGGACTGACTCCCTTTTGCAGCCAGCCTCTAGCGGCCAGTTGATGAATTACAGTTTAAGTCACTTCCTTGTTGGCTTCACGAGAGAGAGCGAGAGGTTGCCGCTCGGTAATATCATGAACATGACCTCATTTAAAGACATGTGATTTGTCCGCCCTAGTGACGGGGGTTTCCCCTCATAAGCGATTCTTCCACCGGCGACCATGTGACTTGTAGCGTCATGGTGGATGAAGTCACGTCCAATGCGGAAGTAAATGCTAACTGAGCAAGTGGCCAACCATTCTAATAGAAACCGACTCTTTCCCAGCGTCTGAAGAGGAACTTACATGTAAATATGATCATTATTCTATGTGTTGTACTGTATTTATGAGATATCCACGATTGTTTGATTATTTGTCAATATCTGTAGGTTCTTGAGGGTTTTGTTTACTTTCGTGAATTAGCTCCTCTAGCCGCTAATCGAGTCTCTTCCGGGTTTGAACCGTCAGATTTCTGACAACCCGAAAACGGGTTTTAATATATTTTGTTCGTTCAGTAGAGATCAGTATAGATGCATCGAATCGATCTATACAAGTAATAACAACTGACTGCTTGTCAGCTAATCTATTTCTCTGTTTTATGTTTTTTTTTTTTACTCTTGTTTTGGCTAACTGTTGTGACTCACACTAACACAGTCAGCATATGTAAGAGAATCGAAATGACAAATAAACCACTATTTCTAAATATATAAGAGTGTAACCGACAGAAAGTGCCTGATTATTACCATATTTTTGGACATGTACTGATATTGTTTGTAGTTCTTAGTATATGTAACAGAACCACAGTATTTTGATCAGATAATATAGTACTACTACTGCCACTGCTTTTTCTGACAGAAGGGACGACTGTTATCATTTACACTGTTTTTCTTTGGCTCCTGGTTTTTAAACTTGACTAAAGTGTTTAGGTTCCTAGTAGCTGAATTGTGCTGTTGTCATGATATGTCAATGACGTCACTCACCAAACAGGAGACATGCATATCTCGAGTCCAAATCTCTAGATATGCTTGCACTGAAGCTTTAACAACATGCGAGATACCTGGGACACTGTTTTGACCTCCACCTCCACTTTTTTACCTGATCTTTGGCTCTTGACATTTCTCCACAGTGCTCCATCATGCTTGGTGGAGGGTTTAAATCCGAAAGACTTCGTGTCAATCTCAGGCTGGTCATAAACCGCCTCCTTGTTCGTTCAGTAGAGATCAGTATAGATGCATCGAATCGATCTATACAAGTAATAACAACTGACTGCTTGTCAGCTAATCTATTTCTCTGTTTTATGGGTTTTTTTTACTCTTGTTTTGGCTAACTGTTGTGACTCACACTAACACAGTCAGCATATGTAAGAGAATCGAAATGACAAATAAACCACTATTTCTAAATATATAAGAGTGTAACCGACAGAAAGTGCCTGATTATTACCATCTTTTTGGACATGTACTGATATTGTTTGTAGTTCTTAGTATATGTAACAGAACCACAGTATTTTGATCAGATAATATTGTACTACTACTGCCACTGCTTTTTCTGACAGAAGGGACGAGTGTTATCATTTACACTGTTTTTCTTTGGCTCCTGGTTTTTAAACTTGACTAAAGTGTTTAGGTTCCTAGTAGCTGAATTGTGCTGTTGTCATGATATGTCAATGACTTCACTCACCAAACAGGAGACATGCATATCTCGAGTCCAAATCTCTAGATATGCTTGCACTGAAGCTTTAACAACATGCGAGATACCTGGGACACTGTTTTGACCTCCACCTCCACTTTTTTACCTGATCTTTGGCTCTTGACATTTCTCCACAGTGCTCCATCATGCTTGGTGGAGGGTTTAAATCCGAAAGACTTCGTGTCAATCTCAGGCTGGCAAGCACTTTGAGTGCCCAAAAAAGCACTATATAAATGTAATGAATTATTATTATTATTATAAAAGTTAAGAGTCAGCCACATCTACCTAAAATGGCTCGTTCTTGATCTGAATTAGCTGAATTAGCCCAGAAGGCTCGCAAGGAGATCGCAGACTACTTGTCAGCAGGCAAAGATGAGCGTGCAAGAATCAGAGTCGAGCACATCATCAGGGAGGATTATTTGGTGGAGGCTATGGAGATCCTGGAGTTATATTGTGATTTGCTGCTCACCCGCTTTGGCTTAATACAGTCCATGAAGTGAGTAACCTTTTTTTTTTTTTTTATGTGTGGATTTTTTGCTCGTTCTTTAATTTTCCATCCACTTTTCAGAGAACTGGACCCTGGCCTACAAGAAGCAGTATCCACACTCATCTGGGCTGCTCCTCGACTGCAATCAGAAGTGGCAGAACTGAAGATTGTGGGTATCATTTGTCTTTGTCTTTAATCTATTTCTGGGGTGTGGTTCTAGTATGGATCATTCATGTCTTTTTTTCTCCCTTTAACAGGTTTCAGATCAGCTGTGTGCCAAATACAGCAAAGAGTATGGAAAGCTATGTAGGACAAACCAGATTGGAACAGTTAATGATAGGGTATGGTAAAACATGTTTGTTTAGAGGTAGTGGGCATTAAATGAACTCATAGTAATGTGTGTTTGGGCAAACATTGCAATAACTATTGCTTATACATGGATTAGGGCATTTTCAAAGCTCCTTTTTGATATGTAACAGCATACCTGATCTACCTCAAATCATACTGCTTCATAAGGAGAGGCGTCATGTTCCTTTTTGAAGGCTGAATACACTTCATAACTTTTGCCAAGTTTTTTTGCACTGATTCACTCTTTTTAGAGGAGTCACCGCTACTTGCCTTTTTTTGGTAGCTTTAGACTATGATTTTATCCAGTTGGAAGAAATCAAACATTATTGATATTTTGAGCCAATTTTAGAACTCATTTTGGTTTCAGTTGTCGTTTTTCTCTCAGCAACAAGGCACATTTCTGTGTGAGTTTGTTGTGTTCGTAACGACTTGAAAGTCTGGTAGTGTGTGATCCTCAGTTGTTTTTCTCTCTAACCATTTACAAAGTCCGCAAGTGTATGATGCCTAGATTTTAAAAGTCATGTAATGTATTCCAGCCTTAAAGGCAGAGATACAACTTTTACAAAATTCCCTAATCTTAAGGCCTGTTCACACCAAGAACGATAACTATAACTTTAACTATATTAGCGTCCACACCAGTGAATGATAACGTTCTGTAATTTATGTCGTCTACCACATTAAATGCGCAGGTGGATTCTGATTGGCTTTTAATGTTTTTATCATTCATTAGCGAACTCATTTTGGTTTCAGTTGTCGTTTTTCTCTCAGCAACAAGGCACATTTCTGTGTGAGTTTGTTGTGTTCGTAACGACTTGAAAGTCTGGTAGTGTGTGATCCTCAGTTGTTTTTCTCTCTAACCATTTACAAAGTCCGCAAGTGTATGATGCCTCGATTTTAAAAGTCATGTAATGTATTCCAGCCTTAAAGGCAGAGATACAACTTTTACAAAATTCCCTAATCTTAAGGCCTGTTCACACCAAGAACGATAACTATAACTTTAACTATATTAGCGTCCACACCAGTGAATGATAACGTTCTGTAATTTATGTCGTCTACCACATTAAATGCGCAGGTGGATTCTGATTGGCTTTTAATGTTTTTATCATTCATTAGCTAGAAAATTAAATTATTCTTTAAGTGATTCCAACACTGTATTTCCTTTGTATCATTATTGTTATATTTGTGGTGTGGACTTCCCTATTCTTGAAGAATTTGAATTTAAACAATTATTAATTATAGTTACCATCCTTGGTGTAAACCAGGGGTGTCAAACTCAATTCCTGGAGGGTCGGAGCCCTGCAGAGTTTCGATTCAACCCTAATTAAACACACCTGGGGCCTGTACCATGAAGTCGGTTTAGCTGGCTAGCCAGGTAAGTTTCAGTTTAGTTTGCACCAATCCTGGGTTTTAGGTACCATGAAAGTGGCTTGGCTTTTAGTGGTGTTCATCACCATAGTAACTTACACTCCACAGCTAACCTGCTCTGGGGCAGGTTATGTTCTGGTTTAGAGATCTCAAACCGAAAATTGACCAATCAGCTTCAAGCAAAGTGACACATGTCTGACGCAATAAAGCCACTCCCCCAATTTCTCTTACTCCAAATTAAAGGATGCTACATAGTAAAACATTTTTAAAGATAAAATTGTCTGATTTTTAGAGATTATTATTTTTTAATAATTATTTGATATGATTTATATAATTATTATACCCTTAATCCATTACACAAGCTAGCGTAGTTCAATAGTCATTATTAAGATTTTATTTTAGATTAATATAAACATATAGATAATATGCAATATAAATAAGTTTTAGAATCAATAGCTTTAAACATGACTACATATGATGTTTTCTTTAAGTTTCCCTCTTTCATGGATAGATAATTTCATCTTGTAAATGTGTTTAAATTCTTCATATTGTACAATCTTTTAATCTTTGGTAGTGAATCGCACTGACTCTCTCATGAGAAGCGAATCACAGTTTCAAGGCATGTGATTGGCTGTTCATTACTGATGTCACACTTTCATGTGCACATGCTCCATTAACTCAGGATCAAGCCTGAGTTGACCGAGAAAGTTGATCAGCTTCATGGTACCAACAAAGCCGGATTTGACTGGTTTGGTTTTGTCAACTCAAAACTAAAACTGTAACCCTGAGTTTGTTCAGCCACCATCATGGTACAGGCCCCTGATCCAACTAATCAAGTCCTTCAGGCTTATTTGAAAACTGCATGGTATTTGTGTTGGAGCAGGGTTGGAAAAACTCTGGCACTCCAGGAATTGAGTGACACCCCTGGTGTAAACGGTCCTTTACATCGATTGAAGAGCAAAGCCAAATTCAGAATATCATAAATGCATAAGGAGTTGGTTATACAAATCTGCTTTTAGGCTGTTGTAAATTAATATCGATCCTTGTCTCTGTAGCTTATGCACAAACTGAGCGTGGAGGCCCCTCCCAAGATTTTGGTGGAGCGTTACCTCATTGAAATCGCCAAAAACTACAATGTTCCCTATGAACCTGATGCCATGGTTCGGGTAGGAATCCATTTTCTCTTCCTCTTCAAGTTCGTCATGTCTACAAGCAGCATTTGTTTCAAACTTTCCTCATCTTTATCATTCACAGCCAGAGGTATATCCAGGTGAAGAGGCAGATCTGATCGATGTGGACAGTGACTTCAAGAAGCCAGGAGCTGGCGGAGGGGGTGGAGGAGGGTTCACTGCTCCCGCTGTAGGCATGCCTATGCCCATGCCAATGCCCATGCCCACAGCTTTCAACTACCCATTGCCCAAAGGAGCTGTAAGACCAAGCTCTAATTAACTAAATTAAGTTGACCAATCGAAGAAGTCTGATTGTCTGTCTAGCTGTGAAATCCGTTTAAAATCATGTTTTCCCCCTACAGGAGCCCTTTAATGGTCCTGTTGGAACCTATGATGGCTTTAGCAACTTCCAGCCTCCAGTGAGAGGAGGGCAGCCCCCACAGCTTCCCAGCTGCCCTCCCACCTATGAATCTGTAAGTGCAAGTGATCACCACCCCTCCCACCCTTCCAGACAGACGGAGACAACCTTTCCACCTTGCAGGGAAGAGTAGTTTATTCCAGTTCACATGCTGTGTTAGTCCTGCTATGTTGTCAGTCTTCTGATCTCACACAGGGAGCCTCCACAGGCATGTGCTACGGGCTGCAAAGGAATGAAAACACTACATTCTGATCTCTCTTGCACCATGTGTATGGCTTTTTGGGATTTTTTGGGGAAATGCTTTTAGGTATTCTAGTAGCCATATGCTGAATGTGAGTCTTATGGAAAATGTACACAAAAAATATATTAAAAAGGTGAATCTCACATGGGTTGTCAAGAACATGTCCGGCAAAATGAAAAGAAACGAGAAGTATTTTGCCTAAAGAAAATGAAGCCTTTTGTTTGGACCAGTTAGACATTAATATTATTAGTAGTAAAAATGAGGTGAAAAGTGTTAATTGTTATGCAAATAATATCACCTCAAATGTTTCATTGTCTTTATACAAAAATACAATATTTTTTCTTTTGATTTTGCTTTTGTGACATTCACCTTGAAGCATTTACCCCAACAAATCCTCTACTGTGCATGGAAACAGGGGCCTCATTTATAAAACGCACAATACGATCATATTTAATCCTAAATTCCATAGATTTCATTCTACATCAAAATTGAGAAGAAAATTCGGATTTATAAAGGTGTATATATACAAAAAGCAGCTGCATTACAATTAGCTACATTAATTGTATGTAATTTCCTTCAAAAAAACAATATGCGTGTCTTCTGAACCATATAGGGATATTTGTGGGTGTTCTGTAGATTGAGTTGATGTGCTTGTTCATATTGCATTTGAATTGAAGGTAAACTGCGATTTTAAAAAGTGTGATGCATTTAGCAAATGTCTAAAGTTCTTTGTGGTTGGACGTTTTAGAATTTTTTTTCGTAGGAACATTTTGGAAATTGTGCTTTCACATTTAAGATCGTTCTGTGCACACCTTTATAAACGAGGCTCCAGGTGTTCACATATTCACTGCATTGACTCACTATAGGGGTCTGTTCTATCTCACGGTGCACGGCTCATAATTCTAACTCTTCACAGTATTAATATAGCAGTATTGATTATTTGCAGTAGTTGCCATGTATGTATGAGAAGTTATTAACATGTTTTCATGTGTTTTTTAAGATCGATGAGTTATCTGTCAAACCCTCTAATCCTTCCCAGGTCATCCCAGGTATGTGCTCTGTCCTAATATGATTTAATAATTTTTGTTAATCGCTTGCGTTATGATGTTTTTCTTTCTAAAAGCTCTGTTTTCTCTCCAGGCCCAGCCACATCTGCACAGATCTATGACAACTCTACCCTTCCTGAACTTCCATCTGTTCCCGACACACTCCCAGCCTCCTCCTTCGGAGCGAACGCCAACACATCTGACGACATTGACTTTGACGACCTGTCACGACGCTTTGAAGAACTCAAGAAGAAGACCTAATTACAGAGAGCACACTGTCCATATTCACATACTCACAGGTCTTCTGGTGGAGGTGTAATATAATATTTGTTACTTAACACAATGAAGGATCGGACGCTGTATAGACACTTGTGAATGGCAGTGGCAGAAATGTATACACTCATTTTAGACTTTTACATAACATGGACTGTTGACAAATCGCCTACCCTTTGAATGAGCACTTTGCTTCGAGGGCCTTGCTGACAGCTAAAACTAGTTAATCTGTAGTTTAATCTCTGCCCCATGTATGATCGATTATTTATATTTATATTATATATATTAAATGTCTTCAGTTTTTCCCCTGCAAATCCTCTAGGAAAAAGCAGGTATAACCTGTCGCCATTATTTACACCCAGAGTTGTGCAATGAACTCTTTTGAATGTCTATGAACCTGCAAAAGACTGTATGATGCCATGGGTTGTTAGTGGATCACAATGGTTGTGCAAAGTGACTCAGCTTCTAGTTATTGACAGAATGCATATAGACAGGGTGCTCTGGTGTTCTCAAATGAACACCAAAGGTTGCTTGTTTCTGGTGACCTGAGCGCCGAATTGAAGAGATTCAGCCTCACATTTAATAAACCATCTCTGTGTCCTGAAGTTAGGCATTGTAGTTTCACCCAGCAGCCATCTTAATTTGACTCAAAAGGAAAGGCTTTGTATTTGTCTGCAGTTGATAACACTCCTATTTCTAATCTTGTCTGTGTGTTTCTGGACTGAATTTGCCTTAGTTTCCACATCTCGAGCTGTGGCCTTGCTGTTCCACACCTTTCTCTGGGAAATGTGACTTTCCTTGACGGCTTGTACCATGAACTCCACATCTGAAGAAGTATTTACATGCTAATTCTTTTCTTTGGTGGGGGATTTGACCATATATCATTTACGTATTTGTTGTAAGAATTGACTGTTTAAAGTGTCATTGTCTCAAGTTTTGAAAGCATTGTTTTGACTGACTTTATAACACTAATTTGTGTTTTCTCCCTCGTATAACCCAAATACAAATCTGGCAATGTTTAGGTATGTTTGATTTTAGCTTGCTTTGAAAACATATCTGATGCCATGTAATAAAGTCTATTTGCTCATAACCCTTTTACTTCTCACCCAAATAATGATTCACTGAAGAAGTAATCTTAAGATTTTTTCATACCACAACATGAATTGTATTAAACTGCTGTAACAAGTTTTTCCATTAATGAATACAGCACTTTTTATAAAGGTTTGGCTGTACTCGGAATGTAATGGATCTCCATCGGCTTTTACACTTTATAACCACTAGAGAGTGACGTAATACAGTTAATAATGATCTATTACAGTGTTCCACAATCACTAGGCTAGGGATGTGCATCTCATGACTCGGGCCGATACGATACGCATCTCGATGCATAGCCAACGATACGATACATTAAAGATACATATGAAGCAGCTACCGATGCGATACGATTCACCCATATTAAGATGCAGTGCGATCCGATTGTGATTCAATTCAACACAATACAATTCGATGCAATATGCAATGGAGAAAATATGATCACTTAATGCCTCGAGGCCTGTTTCATAAAACAAGTTAACCAAATAAGCCAGGCTTCTTTCAGTTAGTCTGACTCACTGTCAAATGATTTGGTTCCATAAAGCAAATTTAACATAAGCCTAGATCAAGCTTAGTTACTGTGGAAACTTGTGCTGGGAAACCTGGTCTAAAGCAGGCTAAGTGCCAGGCTAAGCTACGCTCCTCTAGCCTACTGACCAATAGGAACATAGTGATATTACCACTATTATTTGACTTTTTATTTTTTTTTACAGTTTCTAGCCATGCAGCCTTTCTCTCTGGATTTATTACAGCTGTACCTTTTATAGTTTGCAGAACATTAGAACATTACAATCTAAAATTGCTCTTTAAAGCATTAAAATAACTAAATTAAAAGTTAAAATCACTGAATTAAAAATGAAAATAAAGAAAATGACTACATTTTAACTGCTATAAGAAACACACATTAACTCATTTGAGCTTAGTAATTAATACTGTAGCCTACTAGCTTACGTTTCAATAGTCCACTTACAGTTACTGCTATCATTAAAATACACTTTATATGTAGGTTTAAAATTCTACAAAAGACACATTTTATGTCCAAAGACGAATGTTTTAGCAAAATGTATATTTTTATATTTTTTGTACATGTATATTATTGCGCTCCTATTCGTTGCTCTCACATGCCTCGGCCGCTCCTGACATCAAAATGGATATGTTTGCATGACTTTCTAACATTTACAGATGAAAAATATACCTGTGACATGTCAGTTATGCACTGAGGAAAACACAACGTCTCAAATGCATTAAACGGCACAGATATATTCTTATACGCTTATTCTTAAGCAGACTTTAATGTCGATCATGGTGGATAGATTTGATCCATGATCGACACAAGGTCTGCTTAAGAATAAGCGTGCACAAATTAGTGAGATTGTGTGAATTTAATTCGTCGTTAATGGAACTGCTTTAGCCCCGATTGATTTGTTAGGTTATTTCAAGTCAGGTTTTGGACTTTAATCCCAGTTTTTCCTCGGGTCTCCATAGTGTTGTGATGCCTCATATTCATGCAGATGAGAGAGCGCGCTTAAATAACAGTTTAGAGAGGAGAAATCAATCTACATATAAAATACTTGTCACAGATTATTGGTCACTTTCTAAATAATAAAAAATATAGCGCATCCACTAGTAAGTATATATAAATAAATAGTTTTTTACCGATGCAAATATGTTAGAAACGATTCATCGCGATATACCGGTAAATGACAACTTTTAGCCGATGCACACTTTTTTTTACCGATGCACCTAGCAAATCGGGGAATCTTCCCATCCCCACTGTAGGCCTTTTCAGCTCTCAAATGTCTCAAATAACTGATGAGTTATTCTCAGTGAAACTGTCTTACTCTTCACAACCTCTAAACATAGATTCATGCAAAATGAATTGACTTTTACCTGGTGTTGAAAAAGCTACAAAATAGGATTAAGCTAGACAAAACTGACGGTCAGTATCAACAATTTAGAACAAAAAAGAAAATTATATACAAATATTATATTACAAATATTTCCAGGGTTGACTGTCACAGTGAAAAAAAAAAAAACATCTTACCATTTTGACCAGTACAGCTCACATGATGTTTGACAGCTGACAGCTCAAAAAAATAAAAAATAAAAAAATGTTGCTGGTCTAGATTTTGAACCAAGAATTAAAATTTTGGGTGAGATACCACATTTTGAGACAAAATTAGTCAAAGTTGATTGAGAAAAACTGTAATAGCATCTGAATTTTGTAAATTTTAAAGAGCTCTTACAAATACACATTTTTATGTATATGTATATGCATATTAGGGGTTGCACAGACTAATCAGTCGACTTCAATGCTCTGCCATGACGCTTTAAGCTTGATGTCGACTAATCGCTGGTCCTATAGAGCAGTGTTTCCAAACCGGGGTGCCGTGTAAAAAAAATCATTTTTTAATATTTTTAAATTGCTAAAATGTTCAAAAAAGCATCTATTATATAATATCCATTTCTGATGTCGCCAATAATTAGAGATGCACCGAAAGTTCGCCTGCCGAAAATTAGTTCACCGCTCAGGTTTCACTTTCACGTGGTGTGACGCTCTGCGTATTATCCGCTCAATGCATGTGTGTGCTCCGCTCAGTCGCTCCACTCATATACCGTTCATGCTCATGCAAAGTCCACTCAAAAATTGAGCCGACAGGAAACATCGATGTAGTACAGTATTGTTTCTGTCTGCAATAGCCCTACTGTCTTGTAACATGATGTGGACAGTAGGCTACAGACAGTAGCTCGTACATCACGCGCAGATCGCGCACACACTGAATCATTCAGCGCGAAATGTATTGTCAACACTGTTCTGTGATTTTTCAATAAAATAGCTTAGAAACTGAAACGTTCAAGCATATATTTCTTAATAACTAGTAAATTCCACAGCTTCACTCTATAGTAGAGAGACGCTGCTAGGTAGAATTAATTCACACACGCAATCGCTCTCACTAATGCATTCATATTCATGTAATTTTACTGTGCTACTTTATCTGTATCTGATTTAGAACGAGCAGAAATCTGTGAGAAATATAACGACCCAAAGACAAAAGAACTGATAAAAAAGCTGTTATGTGGGCAGCGCTGTGTCGTATGCCATAGCTGTGCACAAGGTGTTTATCACAGCTCCAGATTTATTTGTTCAGTAATGACGTCATCAGCGACTAGTCGACTTCGACTCGACTTTCATCACATAAAAGTCGACTTCAAAAAATCAGAAGTCGTTCAACCCCCAATATATATATATATATATATAAAGACACGTGTAATGTACAAATTTATAAAATTTTCATTTTGGGGTGAAAATTTTAGATATTACATTGCAAGAACATTTTTTTATCAGTTCACACAAGCCTTACTAAATACTCTCATCTGAGGGACTGTGAGAGATATGGGTTTTTAAATGGCTGGGTGTGCAACATGCACATCATTAACTTCTCTATCTAGCACAAAGGTCAGCATTTTGGCAATTCATTCACATGCTAGATCGTGAGCAGTTTGGACAGTTCTTGCTCTCCCATTCTGCTTTGGGTGGATGAAGTGTACGGACACAGGGACACGGGACACAAACCCACTGCCTGTGAGCGGTCCTTCAGGATCTCACCTCTGTGAAGTATAAACATACAGACCCAGAGGAGATTTCAGGGGCCAGGTATAGTGAGAGAGCGTCTGCATGTGACTGCTAACAAATGTGGCCTGAAAGCAGGGCACAGAAGGCTGCGGCTGGGATGAGTGGATGCGCAAGTGAGGCAATGACACACCCTCCTAATAATAGTGTGCTGACGTGAAGGTGGGGGAAGCACTGTCAGCTATAACTCCTGTTATTCACAAAAAGGTCTTGCATTGCCAGTACCAGCTAAACGTTTACTAGCTGATTTGTAATTTACACTTTTAGAACATTTCACAGTTGTCAGTCAGAGTCTTTGTATATGACAACAATAAAGAGGTGCATGATGATTTATTTACATGACGATATAAAAAAAACTATCTAACTGTTAAAATAAGAATGTACTTAAGTGTGTTTTTAAAATGCTTATTTTTATTATCACCAGTGGCGTGCACAGACTAAATTACATTTTTAAATATATTTCAATAGAAAATAAATTGAAATGTTTTACAATATAAACGTTTTTAACGTATTTTTTATTTTTACAGAAATGCATCCCTGGTGAGCATAAGAGACTTCTCTCAAACCCATCAAAAAGCTTTTAAACAGTAGTGTATATTTGAAAATTGCGCTGATCTTAATTGCATCAAATGTCAAATGTATTTTGATTGATACACTGTAATGCATTTGAAAATAAGTTATTTATTGAAGGTATACTAAAATACATTTTATAGAGTATTTATACATTACATGGATTAAATTGAGACATAATAGTGAATATTCAATGTTTTAAAATGTAATATTGTTTCAACATTGACACTGAGCTATTACCCCTCATATTATGACACTAAGCAAAGCTCAACAATTACAGCAGACACACAGACGTACTATTTACTGAACAGTTACCCAAATTTGAGTGGTATGAGAATCTGCACCTTTAGTAGCTAGTTTAAGCAAAAATTGCCAAGTCTAAAATGATACTGCCCTACAAAATGTAGATATGTTCATGGATTGTCAGACAGTAATTTTTAAAATAATCGTTTGTGAATCTCATCACTCAAGTGACATTATCAATTCGAGTGACATTTTCAAGTGACATTATCAAGTCAAAAACCCATTTTTGTTTTCTGATTTGATCAGAAAAACAAAAAGTAAAGAAAAACTTGTGTGTTCTAAATACACCATTATTATTGTGACAGTATAGACTAAACCACTTAGACAATATATTTTGCTAGATTTTCATACAAAGTTCTGTACACAGTAATAGTTACTAAAATATTAACATGAAACATAAAGTCTGCCTACACAAATGGACTATAATCTGCAAGAGACAGTGAGATGCCAAATCATTTGCATAGACACGAAAATGGCATCCTCTGTTCCTAACACCAAAATCTAGAATAAAATTGGGTGAGTTTGATGACTTCTCAAA